CCATTATGAAAAGTCAAAATGGAAAAGATTATTTTTACTTTAAGCCTAAAATTAGCAATAGAGCATGACCTTTTATACTCCATATGACACAGGAGGAACTGGACTAATTTAGTCTTCAACACTGGTTGATATAAAACTCTTTTGTCTGTGCCTGGATTTTTTCCACTGTCAAATAGCTGACTGACTGACTTTATGTGTGAATTTTACATTTACACATGTAGATGTAAAAATGATTACTAGATATAGAAGGCACAACTGATGCTTTATTCCCATTATTCCTTCCAAGAATTTCTTTATTTCATCCATCCATCCATCAGTCTGACTCTCATGTGTAAGTTCAGGATGTCCACATTCAGAGTAGGTACAAAAAAAACATGCCAGGAAAAACTGTGGTTTCCATCCAGATTTATCGGAGTTTAATCACGATTTCCAGAAAATCTACAAAGGAAAATGCTAATTAACACGCGTTTCCAACCACTGCTGTTCAAACAAGTTCGGAACGATTACACACTGAAATCTGTCCAAATTACCCATGTAGCCGCTCCCAAATTGGTTTGTAGCTACGGTCACAACTGGATTTTGTTCCCCATTCATCTCTATTGAGGAGCTTACCCTTCGCCTTGTTTGCTTTCGGCGAGAGTTCGAGGTTAACCAGAACGCTGCTCGGCTGCGTTGCGCAACTATTAGGCTTTGTGGGTTGAAATTGAAATTAAAAGCGCTGCAGAAGAAGGGCTGCAGCAAGAGGACAAAAATGAAAAAGTGCCAGTCAAACTTTCAGACGATAGAAAATCCCATGAATTACTTGATCGTATTTGTTTTTATTACTGTTTTGAGACACTTCCTCACGAGATGTTTAGAAGAATGCACCGCTGTGACGACAAATATGATTTACTAACGCTTCTTTTCCGCAACATAAAACTTTTGCGATATTTAGACTTTCATCTCTCGTTTTTATTTTTTTATTATCGCGAATGTACATGCAAATAGTTGTAGTTGTGATAGAGCTGCTCCAGTGAAATCACCTGCCTGATGCACCATAAAAAGAATAAACTGTGACATTGTTTGTCTTTAGCATTATTGCTAACACTGTTTCTGCATTATTTATAAAAAACGCCTATTAATTAAATCCAAAGTAAAAAAAGCGCCGTTTCTCAAAACACAGAATGGACCAGTGGCAGGATTTCAGGACAGATGTGAAACAGGGCGTCCATTAAATCCATTTATTCTAATTCATGTGGGCGGAACATGTTGCTGAAACATCCACACAGCTGTCACTTGAAGGAGCGAAAAAGAATCAGATATAAAAAGTAAACCAGTCAAAGTCCCCAATATGTGGCATAAATAATTTAACTGCAAAAGGAAGATAGTTTCAAAACAGCTGGAGGCCTCACCGCTGTCCACAAAGACATTGTTTAATCATGTTTAATGTGGCTTATCTGGAACTATTTTAGGAAGGGAATTGATATCCTCAGTTGTAACGAACGGAACCGGGCTGTCTGGTTTTTTAAATGTGACTTTTGTGCCTGATCGTGCAGAGACAAGATGAGTGAAAGTGAAGGGAAAGATTAGTGAGTGGTGTTGACCGGGGATTCTTCCATGGTCATGTGTAAGTGCTGAAATAGACAGATGCAAATGGAGGGAGAGCCGACAGTGTCGAGAGCACTGGCTTTGTGTGAATAAGGAGCAGGAAAAAAAGTTGAGAGAAAAAATATCCAAGTCTAAGATGAGTCTGAAAAGATGCAGAACTTCTCCCTCTTTAGGGGTTTTCCCCAAGCTTGCTTTAAAAAAAAATCCCCACCCTCGTGGTTTGAAATGCAAAGTTAACAATTTTACTCAGCCCCCAAGGCTTGTATAGTCTCTCCTAATCTTTTTTAATGTGTCAAAAGGCTTTCTTGAGAGTCTCTGTGAAATTTCACACTTAAGTTGTTTGCAAAGTCAGTCTGAATTACAGTATAGAGTGAGGGTTAACTTTTCCAAAGGGGTCGGAGAAAACTTTTCTAAAACTGTATGTGTATGTGTTGTGTTTGTGTGTTGTGGAGAGGGGGTGTTGGAGACAACAACACAGCGTGCACTGAGACTGATGCTGTGTGCCAGGTCGGACTTCCACATTTTAAACTGTGCCTCACACGGGGGCGCCGTACAGAGTCTCACACTGAATCACTGGCTGCGGAGGCTTAATTTTAGGTGTGATGTAAACCAGCCTGGTCATCATTATTACTAACCCTTCCTGCGAGTGAGGTGCGCGTCTAATTTTTAACACGCATCTAAAGTCAGTACCGATCAATATGAGCTTTGATCAGCTCACAGCGGAATTTTATTGCGATCATACAATCCTATCGTTTCACAGAATGTGTCGAGCAGATAAATCGCAGATTAGAACAGTTTATTGCATTGAACTTAATATTTGTAATTGTACAATATTATACATTTATACATTTACTGCACTGCGTTGTATTATGAAGTGCCATGCCGAGGTATCATGTTGTCACAAAATGCATAGATGTTGTGTCATAATGAGAAGATTTCTGTGATGTAACAAGATTAACAACACGTTCATCGTATCTCAAAAACACTGGAAAACTTTCCTGTAATAATGTGACGTATATTTTCCTCCATATTTCTCGGCCTCTAGTTAAAATATTTAAATATATACAAGTGCAAACAGTATATAACAAAATAATTATTAATTATGAAATATTATTATTAAATCATTAATAGTACATTAACGTAGAGACTGTCCTGCGATGGAACACAGCAAGTAATGAGTAATGAGTAGTCATTAATACATTATTACTGTATTATTAGTAGCTTCAAACCCGAC